CAATGATTGACTGAAGTATGGAAAAACTCGTCCAATCGTGAATCGAAAACACATTGAGTCTGTATCCAATGCGGTAAAAGAAGATTGGCATAAGAAGTTGGGAGATCAAATATTCGGTCTTGTGGACTATTGCTGCACCAAGAGGTGGTCCACCTGGTATGGCTACCCCAAGAAGTATAGGACCTGTGTCCATCGCCAGGCCTAAGGCGTCGGAGATAAATGCCAGAACTAGAACCCCAAGTTGTATTGCAACTACATGAACTTCCTTGGCTTCTTGTCCTTGGGGGATGTTGTTGATAATCCACATTATAGTTGGGCGTATGACGTAGAAAGTGAATAATATCAACCCAAGCAATGACATAAAACTCTGAATGCCATAGCCTGCGCGTGCTCGGGCCAATATGAAATAGAATATAATTTCGATCCAGTAGATCACATCGTTGAGGAGGGCAGAGGACATGGCAAATTGGCCCAACTCAGACGTCATAAGGTTGAGGTCATCCAAGGCCTGAGCTAACCCGTGAAAAAAAGTTAAAGAAAAGAAACTAGTGATATATATTGCTCCTGCAGCAGCTCCCTTGCCGATTCCAGGAATGGTGCCGGGGCCGCCTAGCAGGAAAAAGAGGGTTGAGGTGACTGCGGAAGGTAAGATGCAGCAGACCAGACCAATTTTCACGGTATCTTTCTTCGACGTTCTTTTGAAGCGGAGTGCGTCGAATTTCAATGTAGCAAGGAATAAGGCGTATATTGCACCAACAGTGGCCATTGAGTCGAACAATGGAATCACTTTGGCTGCGAATAGTCTGTCCTTGAATCCCTTGGTACCCCCAAGAGCAGAGGACCCCAAGATAATGCCACTCTGAAAAACATATTATATTTAAGTTTCAACCAAAAAGAAAAGAATAACTTATAATAATGTCACAAACTTAATTAATTAGTATACCAGGAGATTGCAGATGAATTTGGTTTGTCCCAATGGCCTGAGCAAAAAATAAAGAAGCTGGGAAGTAACAACAACTAGGATGATTTGGGCCAGCATTAGAGGATGGGTATCGTCCAACGGATTCTCTCCGAACCAAATGCCTCTGTTGGAGGCGGCCGGAAATCGCATGCAATACTGCTCTTCCACTACATCAACTTGTGTGTTGTTCTTCAAGGACGCCATTGATTTCTTTCGTCCCTCCCCCGTCCCAAATTCCTAATTGATCGCTTGAGATTGCCAAGGCTATATATGAATACGAAACCCACATAATCATTCCAAAAACTCTTGGAAAAATTTGAGTGATTTTTGGTGGTTATGGCGCCCTACGTACCTTTTCATCTGTTAAAGTCGTTATACAGAGAGGTATGGTGGTTGTCAACTTCTTTCGTAGCAAGCAACCAACAAAATATCGGGGTTGGCTAAAGTCTAACAATTCAACATAAAAGTTTTAAACAAATAAATAAATTGGTTATGCTGTTACAACGGATTTCAATTTATAGTTAGAGATAATACTCAAGAAATTACAAAAGTGCCAAGTATCAAATTTCGTTGATGGAACCAGCTTTTCTATATAACTACATTCATTTCATTTTGTTATAAGAGATTACCCATTTACTAATGCTTCCTCAAGTCCTCTAAAACTTAACTAAAACTTTAAAAAAAAAAAAAACTGACTGAAATTTTCAAGTTCAACTTTGGAATAGGTTCTTATTCATGCAACAACAACAAAATTATCCTCTACACATAAGATAAAGTAGAATATCATATATTAACACCAAACACAACTGGGTAATTTGACTACAGGTAAAAAAGAGGAAAACAAGCTACAAGTTATAAAACCCAAGTGTCATTAGGCCTTCATGGCAACAAAATCTAACTCCCAATGATGTAAAACAGATGGCGGAAGTAATCGAGGAAAAATTGGAGCATCGTGCGTGCAAAAGCAAAACCAAAAAGCTGCAGGTTTGGGCCCCGAGCTCGAAACTGAGTCCATGACCTGTCGTTTCGAAGAGAACGACGTCACAAGTAAAAGTCATCGCTTTTCCATGTTGTATGGGCTTTTTTGGGTGTTTGATGTCTTTAGTAGCCTAAAACATCATTTGATTATTTTAACTAGTTTTTGGAATTTTTATTATTTTCCCTTTTAATTCCTTTTTGGGTCCCTAGGGTTTCTTTGAGGAAGTATTTAAGCAAACTATGGGTAGGGTTTTATAGGGTTGTATTATACCATTGAATACATTTGAGGTTTTCTCATTCTTCTTATTGGATTCCAGTGTTCTTGCTCTTTGGCTGTATTTTAGCATGTTGATTATCATTGAATTACGGGTAAGGTGATAAGTATGAAGATCTAATGCTTAATTAGTAAATGTATGCTACCGGAAAATCTATGTTGAACCGGAAACTACAGTAGGTCATAATCAACAAAAGAATAAACCAATATTTCTACTAAACTAAACCACCTCCTATCACATTTTGTATCAGAAAATGTTCCACCAAGTTACAGTTGTTCCACTGGCTTGTATATTCCAAATCTTTAAACGAAAACCAAATCATTGCTCAAAAATCAGCAAACTTTTGGCTTGGTACAATATTAACCAGGTAAAGGAAAACAACTAAACAAGCTAAGTTACAAGCAAAACTCTAGACATTATTTATCCCAAAAAAAGATACCCAAAAGGCAAATATTTCTAACTTCCAATGTTCACAATCTTCTAACTAGGAAATTCTTTTAACAAAATAAGAAACTAGAGGGAAGGAGAAATAGTGTTTACTTCTCCCTAACCAAAGCTACTTGTTTGCTTCTCACTAGGAAGCAAGGAACTCCCTTGTAAGTCCTTCTCCGTTTAACATTTTATAGTAGACAAATATTCTATGAAACCCTTGCAGAGTCACTACGAAAAGCTCCACAGCCTAAGCCTCTGCTTTCTTGCATGACCAACACATTCACCATTCCATCACAGAAATCTGAAGAAGACAGCATGTCACCAATCACTCCCAGCTCTGGATGCTCCATGAATACCGCCATTTCTTCATCCCTCAGCGACATTTCCACGTGTCGTCGCCCTACCATGATAAGATCATAATCGCCCTGCAACTTCTTAATGGCACTCATAACTTGTGCACCGTCATCCACCTCGATATCATACCAATTCACACAATCATTACCGATGTTCCCCAGCTTAAACTCGTCGACCAAAGACTGGTCGAGCTTGGCCTCTATTTCCTCCTCTTGGTTACCTCCTTCTAGTTTACCCCGCAAGATTATCCTGAACACCGTCATACCCACGGTCGGGTTGCCAGATATTCGTGCTGCGTAGGCCAACGCCTCACGGTCATCTGCTCCACCAATGAAAATCACCGCTACATTGAAGGAAAAGCTTGTCAATCTCAGCCGACTAGACAAGTCTCTATCAACAAGTATTCCCACTGTACATGGGGAATTTGTTTGCACATTGATGTTGAATTGGCGTATGGAGGCAATCAAAGTGAGGTCAACTGTACCCTGGTGATCATGGAATGGTAAGATAATCAGAGGAACGACCTTGTCATGTGCAAGACGGATTATTGTGTCGTGCATGTTTTTGTAAGGAGCGATCATATCGTAAGCATGGATCGTGACCGGTCCTTCGGAGTTGTCTGAGTAATTCTCAAAGGCTTGAATCATTTGATGCATTGGTGTATTTGTGTGCTTTAATTTATTGTAAGGGACTAGTAGTGGCGCCGCACGCCCCATCAGCTCCACTGCATGGACCATTGTTGTGTAGATACAGCTGCACCAAAATGGATTCAGTTGCATCCTCAACTTGTGATACTCGCAAGTGCACGAGCCGTTCGGTAGTATAGCGTATGTAAGTGCGAGGTCGATCCCACGAGGATTGGTGATTGAATGATCCAATTCATTTCTCCTACACAAAACAGAAATGAAAAAGAAAGGAAATAAATAAAACAAGGAAGAAAGAAAATAACTAACTCAAGTAGATAAGTTCCCAAGTTCAATTAGATTAATGGATTGATTCTAGCTAAAGTATGATTAAGCCATGGTGTGTGGTCATAACCTTGTGTTCCTAATTCCCTAATTTGATCATTTGTTGTCTAACCTAAAATTAAGCATTAGGAACCCATTAAGCATAGAAGAACAATTTAAACAACCAAGCATGTATCTAATCCCTGTTGTCGAATGTCCATACATACTCTTCCTATTCATAGTTCAATTCGAATTAAAGCATGGTGTATACTCTTAATTCAAACCAAGATAGCTAACATGCAAGCCTAAATGGTGATCAATCATTCAAACTAGCACATTAACTTATAAGCATAATGAATAAGAACAAAAACCATAATTGAAACTTGGAAACTAATCAAACACTTCTCTAGAGCTCCCTTCCCTTCTCGCCCTCAAATTCTCTTAGTTTTCCTTTCTAGTTCTCAATTCTAGATTTCTTTAATGTTTTCTTAGTTGTAATTTATTTTTCTTGTAATGTACATTCTTTCTTAAGTATTCAAGTTTAATTAGTTTCCAAGTTTCAATTATGGTTTTTGTTCTTATTCATTATGCTTATAAGTTAATATGCTAGTTTGAATGATTGATCACCATTAAGGCTTGCATGTTAGCTATCTTGGTTTGAATCCAAGAGTATTGAGTCAGTTACTGTCACAGGCCCCCGTGCGGAAGCAAAGTAGGGCATCCAT